GTGACGCACGCGGAAACGCAGCGGAGAGATCAAAACAAAACAACAGTCAAGAATTAGAAGTACAAAACGAGGATTTGTAAAGAAGAATGTCAGAGGATTTCGATATAAGCCAAGAGGAGACTGGTTTTCCTTTGCTAAAGTAAGGAAACTTTGCTTCCTTTGATCCTGTAAACAAACGTTGGTTTTCACGAGACTCACCGGCGCATGCGCAGCGCTGACCTCATACGTCATCCTCTCAGAGCTGCTTCTGTGTACAACTGCTGGCGCAAGCTAGATTAAAGTGATTATTATGTTTTAAATATGGATATTTTTCTTACAAAAACACATCGATTCGCTACAGAAGGCCTTTGTTAACCCCCCCGGAGCCGTGTGAGACACTTTTTTTTTATGCATGGGCGCTTTTTATTTCACTTCTTTTGGACTGAAGCAATGCAACACCCGCTGACTGCAATGATAGAGCTTGAAAGATCAAAGACTATTTTTAATATAACTCCGGCTGGATTCGTCTGAAAGAAGAAAGTCATATACACCTAGGATGCATCGGGGGTGAGTAAAACGCAGACTAATTTTCATTTTTGCGTGAACTAACCCTTTAATATCCTAATGATTTTTGGCATAAAAGAAAAATCTATCATTTTGACCCATACAATGTATTTTTGGCTAATGCTACAAATATACCCCAGCGACTTAAGACTGGTTTTGTGCTGCAGGGACACAAATATTATAGTCTGGATATTTATAGATTTATTGAGAATTATTGAGAAATGATTCATTATATTCATGCATTTTAGATAAGATTCAACCGTTTGTGATCGAGAAGCTTGAAATAATGCATTATAAACTCCTCTAGAAAAATATTATGCTTTTAAAAATAGAGTAAACGCAATATATTTCTATACAAATCTTAGGAAATTGTGACATACTTTTGCATAAATTTCAACATAATTGAACTCATTGCATTTGCATTTCTCCATTTTGTACTGCACTTTACATTGGGACACATTTATTTCACTGCATGTTTTAAAGTTCAAGAACACGTCTTTTGCATTAAAATTGAATTAAACTCACTGGTCACACACTGTAGAATGTGAGAATGATTTCTAATCTGTTCCCAGTTGCATTATCAATAAGATTTTTTCTTAACTTTTTCTTAACTTGTTCCAAACGTGTATGAGTTTCTTTCTTGTGTTGAACACAAAAGAAGATATTTTGAAGAATGTTGGGAACCAAACAGTTTTTGGTCCCCATTGACTTCCATAGTATGGGAGAAGAGAAAAAAGTTTGGTTACCAACATTCTTCAAAATGTCTTATTTTGTCTTTTCAGGTTTCTAAATAATACTTTAGATTTGAAGGGAACCAGTTAATTTGCATGTTTTACATCTGCAGGATTACAAACTTACTAAATTATATAGGTGTGAATAGCCCATTAATCAGGTGTAGACCTAATAAATTGCATCGTATTGAATGAAAGCTTCTCGTTTTGATGCAGTGTGTGCAGAATACAGTTCTAGACATTCTCCATCTTCACCTTTGACGTGACATACTAACAACCATCATTTTATGAGATTTTTTTTTTTCAGCCTTTGAATCTGATGGCTCCTCGGCTCATGGGATAAAGTGACCATCAGATGCACAAGTCAACATCTCAGAGGAAGCAGTAGGTCATCTGGGTATTGTTCAGGTACTCCACACGGTTAAAAGTTTGGAATAATTGATTTTTTTTTTATGTTTTGGAGTCTCTTCTGCTCACCAAGGCTGCATTTACTTGATCAAAAATACAGTAAAAATTGTGAAATATTATTAGAATCTAAATCAGCTGTTTTCTATGTGAATATCTGTTAAAATGTAATTTATTTCTGTGATCAAAGCTGTATTTTCAGCATCATTACTCTAGTCTTCAGTGTCACATGATCTTCAGAAATCATTCTAATATGCTGATTTGCTGCTCGAGAAACATTTCTGATTATTATCACACTTGTGCTGCCCAATGTTTTTGTGGAAATGGTCAAACACTATGCTTTTATTCTGCAAAGATGCATTAAATTGATCAAAAGTGACATTAAGGACATTTATAATGTTACAAAAGATTTATATTTCAAATAAATTCTGTTCTTTTTAACTTTCTATTAATCTGTGAATACTGAAAAATAAAATGCATCACAGTTTCCACAGAAATATTGTGCAGCACAACTGTTTTCAACACTGATAATAATCAGAAATGTTTCTCGAGCAGCAAATCAGCATATTAGAATGATTTCTGAAGATCATGTGACACTGAAGACTGGAGTAATGATGCTGAAAATACAGCTGCGCATCACAGAAATAAATGACAGTTTAACAGAGATTCACATAGAAAACAGCGGTTTTGCATTGCAATAATATTTCACAATTTTTACTGTGGTTTTGATCAAATAAATACAGTATCTGTGAGCAGAAGAGACTTTTTCAAAAACATTAAAAATATATATTATTCCAAACTTTTGTCCTGTATAGTGTACTGGACGTTCACGGAATTATGAAAAAAAAAATGCATGCATCATTAAACTGTAAACAAAATATCTGTGTTTCTAACATGTCGGTAGCTGGATATGCACATTTTTATACAACAAAAAGCAGTATCGCACTCATCGTTCATATTTTATTCTGTAACCGCAGCACGCTTGTTCAGGTGATCTTTGCAGAAAAAGTTTTCTTTAAGATCCACACAGAACTGCTCGCTGTTCTTGGATGTCATCATATATCATATCATATATGCAAATTAAATAATGCGCGTTTGAGCTCCGCGTTTGTTTCGGAGTCTCACGCGGAGGAGAGGAAGCGCGGCGGATCAAAGCGCTTCAGATAAAGGCTTTAATTGCGACTCAAACAGCTCGAGCTCCTGCACTACATAGATCACTGATAAAGGAAACAGTCAACATGCCGTTGTCATCATTGTCCAGCTAAACGATCCTTTCAAAGGCTCTGTCTCTCATCCAGACATTCAAATACAGTCTGATAACACCAAATCCCTGATTACTGCAGACCTCTGTGCCATGCCATCATTTCTGGTTTATCACCAATATTATTGAATCACAGACAGTGCGATTTTGTTTCATCATGAAACCTCAAATAAGCATACAATTGCATGAATACTTTTGAACTGATTTGTTATATTTCCCTCCAAAACGACCTTTTGGCATGTAATAATTTTTATTTTGTTTATTTCAAAATTGCCAAAGCATCATATGCACTTAAAAAAAAAAGAAAAAAGTAAAGACTAACTATTTAAACTTATTGATCTCCAGATTCAGCTTTATTGGTCCGTTAAAAATAAGATTTACCAGTTATAGCATGAGTGACATTAAGCATGCATAAACCTACGTGCACATTTGTGCATATGCATGATTAAAATTGTATACAAAATAAAGAAATCAATGCAAGTAAATGGTTGCACAGTTTTGAGGTTGGTGCAATGAGACCTGTTCACTGTCTCCGAGTTGTTGTGTTGAGTCAGTGGATCAGGCTTGAGCTTGTCCGGGTGTGAATTAGCATTTGAACTGCGGGTCAATCAAAGTTAATTGTGTTGCTACTGTAATCCCTTTGATCGTGATGTTTGCCGACCGCGCCAAACGCCGCTGTGATGGACGGTACGTGGCGCCAGAGACTCCACAGGCAGCAGCATGTGTTAAAACACCACCATTTGAACTACAGTCGAATCAAACACCACAGTACAGAAACACAGACAAATAGCAGCAACTATTGATTTTTTTTATTTTTATATTCGAATATATATATATTTTTAATCATAACGAATCACTTTTTTTTCTAATCGCTGGATTGATCATTTTCCACTGATGTCACTACAGAATAAGCCCTAAAAGCCCAAAATATGATTTAGAGGCTCGTATACGCAAAGTTAGTCAAACCCAGAATTTAGGCGCAGATGTTGAAAAGTGCTGTAGAACAAATAAACGATTTTCTCTATTGGCTATAGTTTTCGTTTTTATATTATTCTGACTATTTCACTTTTTTTTTTTACAGTAGCCTAACTTTTTGTTTCGTCATATAATTTACATTTATTTAAAGTTATATTGAGACGATTAAATGAACACGTAAGCAGGTAATTCTGAAGGCAAAAGTCAAATAACAAGGAATTAACTGGGAAAAAAATACAATTTAAAAGTTTTACTGGCCATTTGAAGCCTGTTGTGACATTATGAAATATTATTACAATTTCAAATAGGCCTACTATTTTTCTATGCAAATATATTGTAAAATGTAATTTATTTCTGCGATCAAAGCTGTATTTGCAGCATCATTACTCCAGTCTTCAGTGTCACATGATCTTCAGAAATCATTCTAATATGCTGATTTATTAGAAACATTTCTGATTATTATCAATGTTGAAAACAGTCGTGCTGCTGAATATTCTATTGGAAAACGTGATATATATACGCATATTTCGCATGATAAATAATGCAAAATAAGTCAAATACAATGATTTATTATGGGGAAGATGTTGACAATTGGTGTAAAATATTTAAAAAGTTTTACTAATCATTTAATGTCATTGTTTTTAAGTTTCTTGGCTTTAAACTTTAAAATTCTATTATTAAAGCTGCAGTTTTCGCCATAAATGCGCCACTGGGATCCAGTTGTTCTGACACTCCATCTGTGTTTGGAGAGGATGCAGACAGCTGGATGAGCCAGAGGTTCTCACAGACAAGCTGGCGCCAGGCTTTCACACAATCACAGGATGTGTAAAGACTTCAATAACGACCCATTAGGCCTAATGATTGAGAATCGATCAGGCGTTAACTCCTCCATGCATATGTTAATGTGGTGCCGGGACGGGCTTATATATATGCATGCCGCTTCTGGAGGCCTAGCAGACAGTCTTGGATTTTACTGGGATAGATTGACTTCCTCAGACAGACAGACAGCAATCATGCTCAAGAAGTTTTCTGTGGACTGGCTCGCCCAAAGCTTTCACGATTCGGCGCATCTGGAGGTTCTGGAGCCGGAGAAGACGACGCACAGGCCGCACGTGCCGTGTCTGGTTCAACCGAGACCTCCAACATCCTACGACAAGGTTTATCTGCAGCCAAAACCAAAGGTTACCAAAGTTGAACAGAATCCAGAGACCATTAAGGAGAATGAGGTCATGACTCCAAGACACTGCTCATCTCCAAGCTGTAAGTATATGCGCTCAATGCATTTTCGATTGACTTCCATTAATGTAAATGGGCACAGAGCGTGTTTTAATGTTATATTTCATGCTCAGTTTCAGAAAACAGCGGCTATTCGTCCGGTTATGAAAGCGAAGCGGCCGCGTCTGAATGTGCGTCGCGCAGAATCAGAACCAAGTTCACTCCGGAGCAGATCGACAAACTGGAGAAAATCTTCAGCAAGCACAAATACTTGGACGCGGGAGAAAGAGTGAAAACAGCGTTGAAACTCAATCTGTCAGAAACTCAGGTGAGACTATTCTCTTTATTTAAATGCATCATCGAGAATAAAAAAAAACTTCCTCTTATGCGTTGAAAAAAAGCTAGTAAATTTCACAAGTAACACTGAAATATTTACCTATAAAGCATACCCCGATAATATTTGAAACGATTGGAAAAGTCGCGTTTTGAGCAATGGAACGATTTTTTTAAATGTATCTTTGTTTTGTTCTGCAGGTCAGAACGTGGTTCCAGAACCGCAGGATGAAGCTGAAGCGGGAAGTTCAGGAGATGCGCGCTGACTATCTTCTACCTCAGATGGTGCTTCCGGTTCAGTACCACTTCTACGACAGACAGCGACTTCCGTTTCCGCCTCACGGCGCGCTGATGCATCAGATGATGCCGCACGTTCCTCATCATCACCTCATGATGCCGAGGCAACATTTCTACTGAAGACAGACACCTTCCTTTATAAAACACTTATATATCACATTCTGTGTGCAATATGTGTACAGTTATGCTTTGTAAAAATAGTGTTTAATTAAAAAGAAGAGTTTATTTATTATCAGAAATAAAGTATGTTTTATGCCTAAGTTTGCTTTACTGGTGATTTGTTCGTGTTCAAGTTAAAGCAATTCCAAGCTTAAAGTTCACATTTGATCTGAAGTGAATCGATCTGAAATATCTGTTGTTCAAATGCGTTTGATCTCAAGCGGTTTCCTTTGAAGTTAAAGGATACTGTGACACTCACTGATCCGAGTGACTGTTTAAACTTGATTTAGGAAGTCAGTGTTTTCTTGGACTGCTCCACATACATTACGTAAGTTAAAGAAAATATAAATATATGGCTGCATTTATTTGGTCAGAAATACAGGAAAAAATACAGTTATTGTGAAAATGTTTTTTTTTCTAACCAGAATTTTTTTTTTCAGGATTTTTTGATAAAAAAAAAAAAAACGCATTTATTCGAAATAGAAATCTTTTGCAACAATATACATTACCTTTCAAAAGTTTGGAGTCAGTATTTATTTTTTTTTTAATAATGCTTTTATTCAGAAAGGATGTGTTAAATTGCTAAATAAAAAGTGGTGATAAAGACAAAAAAGATTAACAGATAAAAAATATTTATATTTCAAATAAATGCTGTTCTTTTTAACTTTATTCATCAAACAATCCTGAAAAAAGTATCACAGGTTCCAAAAATAAATAAAATAAAATAAGCAGCACAACTGTTTCCAGCGCTTATAATAAATCAGCATATTATTATGATTTCTGAAGACCATGTGACACTGAAGACTGGAGTAATGATGCTGAAAATACAGCTGCTCATCACAGAAATAAATTACAGTTTAGAGTATATTAAAATAGAAAAACTTTATTTTAAATGGTAATAATATTTTCCAATATTACAGTTTTTTCTGTATTTTTAGTCAAATAAATGCAGCCTTGATGAGCAGAAGAGACTTCTTTAAAGCACATTAAAAATCTCACTGATCCCAAGCGTTTGAAAAGCAGTGTATTTAACTATTTTAAAACCCAGTTCAGGTTTGAAAACGAGTGAATAGCGATATATTCCTCTTGATATTAGTGACTATGGTGTATTCTTTATGTATGAAAAACATAGCATAAAGCATAGCATTAACAAACTCATGAATAATATAGTTTAAATATAGTTTATAGTCAAACTAGTTAAACATATGAGTTAGAGCTGTCCCACACAGAAACCTATAATGCAGCATCAACACTTTTAATACACAGAGAACAATATGCGTGTATATCGGGGCGTAGCCATCATTTCAGAAGTGAGGGGGACAGAAATGTTAT